CGTCTCAGCACCAGTCCTTTACCTTGCATGTTTTGACACGTCTCAGCACCAGTCCTTTACCTTGCATGTTTTGACACGTCTCAGCACCAGTCCTTTACCTTGCATGTTTTGACACGTCTCAGCACCAGTCCTTTACCTTGCATGTTTTGACACGTCTCAGCACCAGTCCTTTACCTTGCATGTTTTGACACGTCTCAGCACCAGTCCTTTACCTTGCATGTTTTGACACGTCTCAGCACCAGTCCTTTACCTTGCATGTTTTGACACGTCTCAGCACCAGTCCTTTACCTTGCATGTTTTGACACGTCTCAGCACCAGTCCTTTACCTTGCATGTTTTGACACGTCTCAGCACCAGTCCTTTACCTTGCATGTTTTGACACGTCTCAGCACCAGTCCTTTACCTTGCATGTTTTGACACGTCTCAGCACCAGTCCTTTACCTTGCATGTTTTGACACGTCTCAGCACCAGTCCTTTACCTTGCATGTTTTGACACGTCTCAGCACCAGTCCTTTACCTTGCATGTTTTGACAGATCTCAGCACCAGTCCTTTACCTTGCATGTTTTGACACGTCTCAGCACCAGTCCTTTACCTTGCATGTTTTGACACGTCTCAGCACCAGTCCTTTACCTTGCATGTTTTGACACGTCTCAGCACCAGTCCTTTACCTTGCATGTTTTGACACGTCTCACCACCAGTCCTTTACCTTGCATGTTTTGACACGTCTCACCACCAGTCCTTTACCTTGCATGTTTTGACACGTCTCACCACCAGTCCTTTACCTTGCATGTTTTGACACGTCTCAGCACCAGTCCTTTACCTTGCATGTTTTGACACGTCTCAGCACCAGTCCTTTACCTTGCATGTTTTGACACGTCTCAGCACCAGTCCTTTACCTTGCATGTTTTGACACGTCTCAGCATCAGTCCTTTACCTTGCATGTTTTGACACGTCTCAGCACCAGTCCTTTACCTTGCATGTTTTGACACGTCTCAGCACCAGTCCTTTACCTTGCATGTTTTGACACGTCTCAGCACCAGTCCTTTACCTTGCATGTTTTGACACGTCTCAGCACCAGTCCTTTACCTTGCATGTTTTGACACGTCTCAGCACCAGTCCTTTACCTTGCATGTTTTGACACGTCTCAGCACCAGTCCTTTACCTTGCATGTTTTGACACGTCTCAGCACCAGTCCTTTACCTTGCATGTTTTGACACGTCTCAGCACCAGTCCTTTACCTTGCATGTTTTGACACGTCTCAGCACCAGTCCTTTACCTTGCATGTTTTGACACGTCTCAGCACCAGTCCTTTACCTTGCATGTTTTGACACGTCTCAGCACCAGTCCTTTACCTTGCATGTTTTGACACGTCTCAGCACCAGTCCTTTACCTTGCATGTTTTGACACGTCTCAGCATCAGTCCTTTACCTTGCATGTTTTGACACGTCTCAGCACCAGTCCTTTACCTTGCATGTTTTGACACGTCTCAGCACCAGTCCTTTACCTTGCATGTTTTGACACGTCTCAGCACCAGTCCTTTACCTTGCATGTTTTGACACGTCTCAGCACCAGTCCTTTACCTTGCATGTTTTGACACGTCTCAGCACCAGTCCTTTACCTTGCATGTTTTGACACGTCTCAGCACCAGTCCTTTACCTTGCATGTTTTGACACGTCTCAGCACCAGTCCTTTACCTTGCATGTTTTGACACGTCTCAGCACCAGTCCTTTACCTTGCATGTTTTGACACGTCTCAGCACCAGTCCTTTACCTTGCATGTTTTGACACGTCTCAGCACCAGTCCTTTACCTTGCATGTTTTGACACGTCTCAGCACCAGTCCTTTACCTTGCATGTTTTGACACGTCTCAGCACCAGTCCTTTACCTTGCATGTTTTGACACGTCTCAGCACCAGTCCTTTACCTTGCATGTTTTGACACGTCTCAGCACCAGTCCTTTACCTTGCATGTTTTGACACGTCTCAGCACCAGTCCTTTACCTTGCATGTTTTGACACGTCTCAGCACCAGTCCTTTACCTTGCATGTTTTGACACGTCTCAGCACCAGTCCTTTACCTTGCATGTTTTGACACGTCTCAGCACCAGTCCTTTACCTTGCATGTTTTGACACGTCTCAGCACCAGTCCTTTACCTTGCATGTTTTGACACGTCTCAGCACCAGTCCTTTACCTTGCATGTTTTGACACGTCTCAGCACCAGTCCTTTACCTTGCATGTTTTGACACGTCTCAGCACCAGTCCTTTACCTTGCATGTTTTGACACGTCTCAGCACCAGTCCTTTACCTTGCATGTTTTGACACGTCTCAGCACCAGTCCTTTACCTTGCATGTTTTGACACGTCTCAGCACCAGTCCTTTACCTTGCATGTTTTGACACGTCTCAGCACCAGTCCTTTACCTTGCATGTTTTGACACGTCTCAGCACCAGTCCTTTACCTTGCATGTTTTGACACGTCTCAGCACCAGTCCTTTACCTTGCATGTTTTGACACGTCTCAGCACCAGTCCTTTACCTTGCATGTTTTGACACGTCTCAGCACCAGTCCTTTACCTTGCATGTTTTGACACGTCTCAGCACCAGTCCTTTACCTTGCATGTTTTGACACGTCTCAGCACCAGTCCTTTACCTTGCATGTTTTGACACGTCTCAGCACCAGTCCTTTACCTTGCATGTTTTGACACGTCTCAGCACCAGTCCTTTACCTTGCATGTTTTGACACGTCTCAGCACCAGTCCTTTACCTTGCATGTTTTGACACGTCTCAGCACCAGTCCTTTACCTTGCATGTTTTGACACGTCTCAGCACCAGTCCTTTACCTTGCATGTTTTGACACGTCTCAGCACCAGTCCTTTACCTTGCATGTTTTGACACGTCTCAGCACCAGTCCTTTACCTTGCATGTTTTGACACGTCTCAGCACCAGTCCTTTACCTTGCATGTTTTGACACGTCTCAGCACCAGTCCTTTACCTTGCATGTTTTGACACGTCTCAGCACCAGTCCTTTACCTTGCATGTTTTGACACGTCTCAGCACCAGTCCTTTACCTTGCATGTTTTGACACGTCTCAGCACCAGTCCTTTACCTTGCATGTTTTGACACGTCTCAGCACCAGTCCTTTACCTTGCATGTTTTGACACGTCTCAGCACCAGTCCTTTACCTTGCATGTTTTTGACACGTCTCAGCACCAGTCCTTTACCTTGCATGTTTTGACACGTCTCAGCACCAGTCCTTTACCTTGCATGTTTTGACACGTCTCAGCACCAGTCCTTTACCTTGCATGTTTTGACACGTCTCAGCACCAGTCCTTTACCTTGCATGTTTTGACACGTCTCAGCACCAGTCCTTTACCTTGCATGTTTTGACACGTCTCAGCACCAGTCCTTTACCTTGCATGGTTTGACACGTCTCAGCACCAGTCCTTTACCTTGCATGTTTTGACACGTCTCAGCACCAGTCCTTTACCTTGCATGTTTTGACACGTCTCAGCACCAGTCCTTTACCTTGCATGTTTTGACACGTCTCAGCACCAGTCCTTTACCTTGCATGTTTTGACACGTCTCAGCACCAGTCCTTTACCTTGCATGTTTTGACACGTCTCAGCACCAGTCCTTTACCTTGCATGTTTTGACACGTCTCAGCACCAGTCCTTTACCTTGCATGTTTTGACACGTCTCAGCACCAGTCCTTTACCTTGCATGTTTTGACACGTCTCACCACCAGTCCTTTACCTTGCATGTTTTGACACGTCTCAGCACCAGTCCTTTACCTTGCATGTTTTGACACGTCTCAGCACCAGTCCTTTACCTTGCATGTTTTGACACGTCTCAGCACCAGTCCTTTACCTTGCATGTTTTGACACGTCTCAGCACCAGTCCTTTACCTTGCATGTTTTGACACGTCTCAGCACCAGTCCTTTACCTTGCATGTTTTGACACGTCTCAGCACCAGTCCTTTACCTTGCATGTTTTGACACGTCTCAGCACCAGTCCTTTACCTTGCATGTTTTGACACGTCTCAGCACCAGTCCTTTACCTTGCATGTTTTGACACGTCTCAGCACCAGTCCTTTACCTTGCATGTTTTGACACGTCTCAGCGCCAGTCCTTTACCTTGCATGTTTTGACACGTCTCAGCACCAGTCCTTTACCTTGCATGTTTTGACACGTCTCAGCACCAGTCCTTTACCTTGCATGTTTTGACACGTCTCAGCACCAGTCCTTTACCTTGCATGTTTTGACACGTCTCAGCACCAGTCCTTTACCTTGCATGTTTTGACACGTCTCACCACCAGTCCTTTACCTTGCATGTTTTGACACGTCTCAGCACCAGTCCTTTACCTTGCATGTTTTGACACGTCTCAGCACCAGTCCTTTACCTTGCATGTTTTGACACGTCTCACCACCAGTCCTTTACCTTGCATGTTTTGACACGTCTCAGCACCAGTCCTTTACCTTGCATGTTTTGACACGTCTCAGCACCAGTCCTTTACCTTGCATGTTTTGACACGTCTCAGCACCAGTCCTTTACCTTGCATGTTTTGACACGTCTCAGCACCAGTCCTTTACCTTGCATGTTTTGACACGTCTCAGCACCAGTCCTTTACCTTGCATGTTTTGACACGTCTCAGCACCAGTCCTTTACCTTGCATGTTTTGACACGTCTCAGCACCAGTCCTTTACCTTGCATGTTTTGACACGTCTCAGCACCAGTCCTTTACCTTGCATGTTTTGACACGTCTCAGCACCAGTCCTTTACCTTGCATGTTTTGACACGTCTCAGCACCAGTCCTTTACCTTGCATGTTTTGACACGTCTCACCACCAGTCCTTCACCTTGCATGCCTGCCACATCTCAAAACTCACCAGCCCTTCCCCTCATCCCACTCTCCTCACCCCTCTCCCCCACCCTCACCCCATCACCTCGTCCCCACCCTCTCGCCCTCCCCGTCCCCTCCCCATCCCCCCCACCTCCCTCCCTCCCCACTCACCCGTCCCCGCACACCGCCAGCTGTGCAAACCCCACCGGATCAGGCCTTATCCGCTTTACCAGCGTGGCAAGCCCCTGCGCGCGGTTCTCAATCCCAACGGGTTTTAGAATCGGGTCCATTATGTCAAAATGGTGGAGGGAGAGGAGAGGCTGAGCCGGGTGCGACATGAGCAGCCCGAATAGACTGTGGTGCAGGTCGCACTGGTGAAAGCCGGGGGCCACAGTGAGAGACACCTGCAGGGGAAGATGTGAATGTAAGGGCGGAGTGGGGGGGTCGGGGGAGGTGGGGGGTGGCAGGAGGAGGGGGGGAGGGAGGGGAGAGCAGGGGCTGAGCCGGGTGCGACATGAGCAGCCACAACCCGAATAGGCTGTGGTGCAGGTTTCTCTGGTGGAAGCCGGGGGCCACAGTCAGGGACACCTGCACCAGACTCAGCGCTTGCATCCAGGATGCTGGACGAGTCAATTTTATCCAAAGGAGAGCCACGACAGGTACGAGATGAGACGAGAAGAGAAGAGAAGAGAAGAGAAAAGACAAGACAAGAGAAGAGACTCACCCCCAGCTCGCCGATGAGCGGTATGCTGTGTCCGCGTAGAGCTGGCAGTTCGTTTGAGCGGGATGCTGTGTCCGCATACACCCTCCGGGACATAGCCATGTTTGGGTTCGGATTGACTGTAAATTTTCGTTACTGGGGTGTGAAACCGCCAAAACGAAGTGAGTATGACCCGCCCTAGAGACTCACCCCTAATTCGCCGATGCAAGCAGCGATAAGAGACTCACCCCTAGCTCGCTGATGCAAGCAGCCATGCGCTCGTCGCTCCCCCGCAGCTTCGTGTGCCTCTCCAGGCACGGGTCCATGCCGTCCCCCGCGCTCAGCGCTTTCGCCAGCGCCGCGGACACGGCGAAGCCCGTGCCGCCAAACCCCATGGAGCGCGTGAACTCGACGTTCTGCATGTGCGTCTCGGAGGCGGACCCGAGGTAGAGCAGCGCGCGGTGGTCGTACTGCTGTAGAAAGGCCGCTAGCGCGTGCGGGCTGAAGAAGGTGTCGTCGTCGCCCATCACGTACCTGACAGCGCGGGTGGGGAGGGGAGGGGGACGAGGGGGGGAGGGGAGGGGGGGAGGCGCGGGGGGGGGGGGGGTGGGTTGTTGAGAGGAATGAGGGGATTGAGACGAACGAGGGGGGTTGAGAGGGGAGCGAGAGAGGCTACACAAGACTCGAAACTCATTTGCCAGGATCTGTTGCTTTGAGACGCCTCGGGACTTGTATGTCGAAAGCGAGTTTGACGTGCACTTTTGAGATTTTACAAAAGCGTGCTTTGACGTGCACTTCACAACCAGAAATACAGAGTGAGAGAGAGTGAGACTCCGGCCATCCTCTCATGCTGTCAGCAGAAGCGGCGCGATGCAGAGGGAATGTGAGTGAAGTGAATGGGGGAGACTGATTGAGGGAGTGAGCGAGTGAAAGAGGGGAGGAAGGTAGGGAGGGAGGGAGGGAGGGAGGGAGGGAGGAAGAGGAGTCGCACCATCGCACGTCTTTCTCCCCGAGCCTGTACGCGTCCACGACAACGCGCGCCATGCGCACATAATCCCGCAGCCCCTTCCCCCGGTAACTCAGATGCGCCGTGCTGCTGCTCACCCGCACATCTCAAATTTCATGAATCGTTTTACATAACGTAGATATACTTGCAACATATCCTGAAGTATACAAATAGTATGGGTCATTAGGGGTACCATAAAGTAGCATGCGTCGTAGGTGTTTAGTATGGTTGGATTAGTATGTAAATGGTAGAGCACCAATGCATACCAAAACGATACCAACTTCACTAACAAAAATATGCTCTTTGGTATGCATTTGTTTCACCATCTGTTTACAATTCCATACTGGCAAGTATATAATCTGCAAAATTATGTTATGCAAACTAGGATCAAATGCATAGCAAATCACATATATTTGGAACGAAAAATTCCCATACTAGCAACTAGTGCAACCACACAAATCAGTAACAAATTTGTTTAAATGTTAGGATCATTGTGTGTGTTAAAAATATTTATATTAGAGTTGCATGTACACAATACATGAAGATATTGCATCAGAGGCTCTACTAACTTTGCTGAATACACGACGCATATATCAGCACTGAACTTCCTGAAAATACAAACGACACACAGTTCAGGTGGAAATCACGCGGAACAGCAGAGACCACCACGTACCTTTAAAAATGATAGTCGCTGCAAAAAACGGCAATACAAATAAGGTCTGAAAGTGAAACAACTGTCATCGCCGTTGCATAAGGTAGCACATAAAAACAACAGAAAGATGTAGGCAGTGTGGATGAGTAGCTGGCACGGAAATTTCATTGAGGGAGCTTCCCTTGAAGGCCTGCAGCAAAAACGGTCAAATGATACAAAAGAGCAAAAGCGTACAAGCAACTGCAGAGCAATAGCACAGATCGGGTCTCACTGAGAGCGACCGTGCGCCAAATTGACAAGAAACCAGACTGCGTCACGCCCTCAGTCGCAAATCCTACTAGCAGCACCAGCAGCAGCAGCAGCAGCAGAAGAAGAAGAACGTGCGCCTTACGCCACCACACACTCCGCCGCTAGTAGTAGGTAGCGCAGTTCACTTCACGCCCACTGCCGTGATTCTCGCCAGGAGTAAACCCTAGCTATAAGAACAGGCTGACAAAAATCTAACGCAGACACGAAAGGCATGGCAGTAACGGTTAAAGGTGATGCACGCTAAGTTAGGCAAGTGAACGAGGGCGACCGGAGATCTGAAGGGAAATGGCGTACTAACGCACGTAGAGCACCAATCTGCTTCTGCTGATACGGGAATGGAAACACACGCAATAAGACAGAGAGGTGGGAGAGCTGGAGCAGTTGCGATGGGGAGAAGGGGGAGGCTGGGGGGATTGGGGAGGGGAGAGAATTTGTGACGCTGGAGATTGTGCGTTTGGCGAGCGCTGCTGCAATTGCGCCAGAGGCAGTTACAGCAGCAGCGCAGTTGCGCCAGCGACATTTACAAATGCTGCGCGGTTGCACTGGCTTTGGCAGCACAATGTTGCACTGCGCTGGCACTTGAGCGGCTGCGCTGGGTTGGCATATTCAGCGGTTGCGCTGGAAGCATCTGCAGCGCGATTGCTCAGCAGCGTTGCGCTGGCAGTCCAATTCAAGCAAACTCATCGCACAAAAATTTTCGTAACCAATCAAAATCTATCCGTATCGCCAGACATTGTTGCTGTAAATCGAATGAACCAATGATTGCCCAAAATGACGTGGATGTTGAAAAACGTCGGCAGAAGTGTTTGTCCGTGTCGCGTCATTAAAACTTCACAATACACACAAAAACAGGATAGCTACAAATCCGATTACTGTGCTAAATATTTGACAAACATACAAGTGAAATGACTGGTATTTAAAAATCCCTGTCTATGATAGCAACAAAGGGCCATAAATGAAATCCTTGTATTCAATATCATACACATGCGGGATATTTTATATGATTAATCACTAAAACGTATACATTCAATTGCATTTAAGATCTGGTAAAATATACTAACAGCCATACTGGTCACATAATTTGATGCATCAGCTTTATGGAACTTCAATTTTCTCTTTTGAACAAAGGAATGGTGGTAAAAAAGACATCCAGACGTTGGCGAGTTGACATGTTACGCACAGGCCTATTCTTGCATAGTTCGAGACCAGCAAACGCACGAACAAGCGCCAGGAGCTACGTAGTTGAGCGAACGAGCTCAAACCAGTTCCTATGGCAAGGGAATAGGATGCACTTCCCTAATGTGTAAATAAATAGTGTTAAAAAAGGCATCCAGACGTTGGCGAGCTGCCATGTTGAGCGCATGCCTATCTTTGCGCAAATTTACCATGAAACGCACGAACAAGCGCCACGTGCTGCGTAGTTGTGCGAACGAGTTCAAACCAGTTCCTATTGTCAAACTTATATGCTATAGTCTGTGTAGGCTGTAGGGGGGTAGATAATATGGGGTACAACACTTTTAGGTTTTCCTACTTGTACCAACATGTTTCCTAGTGCATTCATTCATCGTTCTTTCACATGGTATAGAGCAGGTTCCCTAGTGGGAACGTTTCCTAGGGCCCACCGAAAATTGGAGTTTTTTTTTTCCTGCCCGGAGCGCGCTTCGCCCCTGCCCGAGTCGCGCCCTGTGCCGTGTGCCTGCCCTCGGGGTGTGTCAAACTTATATGCTATAGTCTGTGTAGGTTGTAGTGGGGTAGATAATATGGGGTACAACACTTTTAGGTTTTCCTACTTGTACCAACCTGATTCCTAGTGCATTCATTCCTCGTTCTTTCACACCTATGGCTAGGGAATAGAATGTAATAGGGAATTGTGCGAAGAAATAGAGGTAAACAAATTTTCTAGACGTTGAAACGGTGACATGTTGCATACAGGCCTATCCTTGCACAGATTCACCATGGAACGCACAAACATGCGCCACGTGCTGCGTAATTGTGCGAACTAGCTCAAACTAGTTCCTATGGCTAGGGAATAGGATGTACTAGGGAGCTGTGCGAAGAAATAGAGGTAGAAATAACTTCCAAATGCTGAAACGGTGACATGTTGCGTACAGGCCTATCCTTACACAGATTCACCATGGAACGCACAAACATGCGCCACGTGCTGCGTAATTGTGCGAACTAGCTTAAACCAGTTCCTATGGCTAGGGAATAGGATCTAATAGGGAACGGTGTGAATAAATAGTGGTAAAAATGGCATCCAGGCGTTGGCGAGCTGACATGTTGCACACAGGCCTATCCTTGCACAGATTCACTATGGAACGCACAAACATGCGCCACGTGCTGCGTGGTTGTGCGAAAGAGCTCATACAAGTTCCTATGGTTAGGGAATAGGATGTAATAGGGAACTGTGCGAAGAAATAGAAATAAACAAAACATCCAGACGTTGAAACGGTGACATGTTGTGCACAGGCCGATCCTTGCACAAATTCACCATGGAACGCGCAAACATGCGCCACATGCTACGTAGTTGTGCGAACTAGCTCAAACAGAGATAAACGGGGATCGAGGGGGGTAGTCTTAAATGAATAGAAGAGGCTTCGACAATCTGCTGCAATTTCTCGTCACACACGATAATAAACTGTCGGGAAAAACGGTGCACCAGATATCACCGAATAAACGATAAAAAACCATCAGCCTCCAACTAAAAAAATGACCATTACTCGGCAGTTTCACATTTTTCTGATGATTGGCACAATCTGAGAACATTTGCAAGCAAGTCAGAGGAAAAATATGAATTTAGCATATACAAAATCGTTTTACAGTGGCGTTTTACATACTAAACCAATATTGGTAACTATAGAGTACACATTTACTTACCATACGGGGATTCATTTCGCCTACTGTTTGCGGAACGAAAAACCGCATACTGAAAACCCTTTCCCGATTTTTGAGATGCACAGGGGGGGTGCCGCCCACGCCGCACCGGAGCGCCTTGGGAAGACGCGCCACGTCATTCATCCACACGTAGCCGCGAAGTGGGGCGTCGGAGTCTGAAGAGGAGGCGGAGTCTGAGTGGTTTTCGGACCGCCACCAGGCGCGTAAGTATCGCACGCGCTTCGAAAAGCTGGCATTTGACGATGCGATGTTGAAGAGAATATGTCGCACCCCTGTCTCCTCCTCCTCCTCCTCTCCTCCCAATTGCTCCTCATCCTGCTGCTGTTGCGCCTTCTTCTCTTGCTCCGAGACGCAGCCAGCCTTTCCCCGTACTTCCTCCGCTTCCCCCCGCCATCCCGTTTCTATCCCCGCGTTGGAGCCATTGCGGTTCGTAGTACTAGTGGCATCATGATCGTCCGTTTCCAACGGCCGAGATGCCATTGCTGGGCACGCGGCGCACGACGCCGCGGCTGCATTACCGCCGCTACCGCCGCCAGACCTTTTCTGCTCCGACTTCGCCGGGCCGCTGCGGCAATCATCCAAGTAAGACACATCAGTTTTATCAGTATTATTACTGTAATAATAATAATCATCATCGTCCTTGTGACGGAAAGCCGCTCGCAACCACTTCCACCACGTCCTCGACGAATCCGAGGAGTTCAAACTTGGGGAAGCAGATGATTCGGATTCCGCGGCTCGGAGGGTGTCGATTAAACTCTTTATCTCGGCGTGTATGCTGACCGCCGCCGTTCCTGAGGGAAGCTCCTGTTGAACAGTGACGACCGCGTCTTGAGCACGCTTGTTCCAGACAACGACGCGAAACAGGGAAATCTGGAGCTTATTTGTAGTAGTACTATTGATACGAGTAGTAGTAGTGGTACTAGTACTATTTAGAGTATTGATTGTCGCAGACGCAGCTAGGCGACGTATTAAGTATGACTCGTTGACCCAGCCGCTGCGCAGGACCTGACCAGTGAACAACACGTCAGAATCACGAGAAGGAAACGACCAGAGAGAGAAGGCGATGACGAGAATGGCGCCGAGAGAGACTTGAACGCAAACGAGAGTGGCGAGGGCGGGGATCACTTGCAGTGGCTTCGTCCGTGGAACGACGGGTTGCTGCTGCTGCTGCTTACTAACAGA